TTTTTTTTTTCCTTGCAGTCTGAGGATCAAACCCAGGGCCTCCCAAGTACTAAGCAAGCTCTCTACCACAGAACCACACCCCAGCCCTTGTATAAGCATTTGTATGCAGTTTTGATAAAGCTGATAAGGCAGTGAGATTCTTTTGTTCATTCTAAATTTAGAATATAAGCACTTTCAATTTTGAGGGGGGGAAGGAAGAAAGGGAAAAGAACCTTTCTTTTTTAGTGTTCTTGGACCCCTACTAGATTCAAGGACCTTAATAGTTTCTACAATAAACATTATTTCTAACATTTAGCTTTATCTTTCCTGATCAGTATCACATTTTTTTTTTAATGAAACATTTTTGGAGCAGGACATACAGAGGCTAAAAGCATAGGCTTTGGGCCACCTAGAGAAAGCATCTGTAAACTTTTCCTGTAAAGGAATAGCCACTATATATTTTGGGCTTTGCAGGCCATATAGTCTGTCCTGCTAGTTCAAGCAGTCATAGGTGATACAAATGCATATGGCTGTGTTCCAATAAAACTTTATTTACAAAAGCAGGCACTGAGCCAGATTTGGCCCTGGGGCTATAATTGTCAAGCCCTGATCTGGAATTATATTCTGTCTCTAGCACCTTCTAGCTGACTGGGTGATCTGACTGGACAACCAGTCATCTGTAAATCAGAGATAATTATTCTACCTCATTAGGTTTGGATCATAAAGTGGATACATGTATAAAGCATTTATTCCACGTAAGGGTTCTATAAATGTTTACCTATCATTATCATTATTAGCCTCTCCGGGCAGTAGAGAAGGGAAGCAAGAAGTCCAGGCCATGCAATTAGCAAGCACTGAACCCTACCACACAGCCTCAGGAGGTGGTTTCCATTATTCAATTACTTTAACTTAGTCTCAGCTTAGCCTTTGCTCCAAACGCCTCCTCCTGTTTTCCTAAGCAATTCCATTCAAGATGGAGTCTTGGAGTAAAAAAAAAAAAAAAAAAAAAAGAGAGAGAGAGACCAACATGCTCAAAGGACTGAAAGTGACCTTTGCCCCTCCTTTCTCCCTCTCAGAATCCAAAGAGGAAGAGACTGTCCCCAGGTGTGCCTTATCTTGTCCTGGCACTTGAGTTGGCCTGCAGAGAGCTCTTGAAGTCACTCCAGGGAGCTCTTTCCTTGGCAGACAGCTTTGCTCCATGAGCACCCGGTGAAACCAGCCTTCACTTAATCCTTCAGGCAACATCTCAGAGGAAAAAGAACTCTTAGGATTCCTTCTTTCTTTCTTTGGACATTTTTCTTATGTTGGGGTTTCCCACTCAAATTTTTAGGAGTTCCAGCACCAGGCCCTTGGCACTGCTTCCCATTTTTTTGTGGTGATTGTCAAATGCCACCTGGTATGTACACCTCTCTTTCTTTCTTTCTTTTCTCTCTCTCTCTCTCTCTCTCTCTCTCTCTCTCTCTCTCTCTCTCTCTTTTTTTTTTTTTTTTTTTTTACCAGGGATTGAACCCAGGGATGCTCAATCACTGAGCCACATCCCCAGCTCTTTTTATTTTGTATTTTGAGACTTTTTAAATTGCTGAGGCTGGCTACGAACTCATGATCCTCCTGCCTCAGCCTCCCAAGTTCCTGGGATTACAGGTATGCACCACCTCCAGGATCACCCCCCTTTCTTATTACTGGTGTATCTTCCTAGACCTTGCCTCTTTTTTCCTAACCAGCAGAAGAGCTTCCCCCATTCTCAAAATAAATAGCAAATAAGAGTGTGAATTTCAGTGACAAATACAACAGGTCATTTTCCAGCCTCCTATAATTTTGACTTGGGTCGGTAGCTTCTAGGGCTTTCCTGCTCTGATCGCTGGCAGGCCCAGCTCCCCTTTCACTTCGGCCTTGTAACTTCTCTTCCTGAATTAATTTTTTTTTCAATTAGCTTGCTTGCTACAAGGCAGATGGAAGGGGTCCTCCTTTTTAACTCAAATTTCCTTCTTCCCAGGCACAACAGCAATTTGCTACACACACACACTGCAAGATGAAGGACAAAAAGACTTCACTAGCTGAGCAAAAGACTCAGTCAAATACATGATTTCACCAGGTTTTCCAACTGTATAATGAAATCAGACTCCTCCCCTGGGAAGAGAGATCCCTCCCCCTCCTACTGCAAACACAAAATTCCACCCACTTCTTTCCAAGGACACACTTTGTTCTAAATCCCAAAGGCTTCACTCTCCCTCACACACACAAAAAGAGCAGGAAGCTGCACCTAGGCTGTTAGCGTGAGCTGCAATCTCTCTCTGAGCCCAAGATGAAAGAAGTAAAAGGAAAGGAAGTGCTCAATGTGAAGCCTGCATTTGTAAGAAGCAGGCGTGGGATGCCAAGGAGTGGTCTTGGCACGGCTGGGTTGGGGGCGGGGATGATGACTTTTTCTTTCCTTTTTTCATGAGTGTCCCATGCTCAAGCTGGAGAAGAGATTAAAACTACAAGAGGGACTGGGGAGGCTAAGGGTTAGATGTTAGATGAATTGTCTAGCAAAAAAACTACAAGAAAGAGCACATGTTCCTGATACATTTTGAATAGATTAATAATACTTTGTTTAAAACCCTCATTAAAAAAAAAAAAAAAAAAAGTTAGCCATCGCAGGCCTGTAATCCCAGCAACCAGGGAGGCTGAACAGAAGTATGGCAAGTTGGAGGCCAATCTCAGCAATTTAGCAAGGCCCTAAGCAACTTAGTGAGACCCTGTCTCAAAATAAAACACAATAACAAGGATTGGGGATGTGGCTCAGTGGTAAAGCACCCCTGGGTTCAATCCCTAGTACCAAAAAAAAAAAAAAAAAATTTAAGTCAACTTGATCAAATAAATAAATAAATAAATAAAATCAAGAATTAATAAGTGGAATGGATTTAACTTAAAAAAAAGTCAACTTGATCAAATTTCCTTTGGAGTTAGGCAACTTAAGGCTACTTGAGAATCTTGGGGTGCACAATGGAATAGAGTATGTATTGCAGCACTGATTGTAGAAGCCAAGCCTGAGAGTCACCCAGAATGTCTGTCAGGAAGGACAAGTGAAATACATTAAGAAACATCCTGAAAGAGATAAGAGGCCACCATGAAAACTTCGGGTTTTTTCTGCCAGGGAGCACTCTCCAGTAGACCTAAGTGGGAGAGGAAAGGCAGAAGAGTGTGCAGAAGGACAAGGGACTGGATGGGTGACATGGCTGACACACAGGTGTATATTTAGGACAAAGACGGAAAAAACTGCTGATCTGCATGGGGGGGGGGGTGTCACCCTTAATTACATTTTTTGATTTGAATGTATTACAGTGGTTTCCCCTAAAATTGACAACTAATATCTAAAAATACATAGATTAAAAATTGCCTGAGAAAGACACTTCAAGTTTGTTTGTTTGTTAAGTCTCTAAATGATACCAAAGGAATATTTAAAACAGAAGGAGAGATAAAGAGAAAGGGAGGGAGGGTGGGAGGGAGGACATCTCTGGAAAATGTCTGAGGGAGAGGGGTCCCACTGTTCAAGTAGTGGTTGGCCCTCTCTGGTGAGATTCGGAGCTCATGGCAGGGAGCAGAAGCAGCCAGAGGTACTTTAACACCGGTTCCTTAATTTTATACTGTTCGAACATTTTAAAGGGGTGATGTATTAGCTCTATGTTATATCTTTAAAACCAAAGTGAGAAAAGGAGAGCAATGATCAAAGCCAATGACCAAAAGCTGCCCCGCAATACCGTGCGCCCCGGGCAACTCCACCTCCCCGCCCGATCCTGGGTAGACCTCCTCTGTCCGCCTGCCTCACGCTGCGAGGTCAGACGTCATCAGGCCGCTGACGGCTTCCCCTCTTCCTCCGTGTTATTTGCTGGGACTGCCTCCAGTGGCAGCAGTGGCCCTGTCGCTGTCTTTGTTCCAGCTGGAGCCTGAAGAGGTTCCGCGCCCTGGGGCGTGGGAGCGACGGGCAGCCTGCGGGAGAGCGTCCAGTGGAACCTGCCCGTGTTTCCCTACTGCCCTGCGCGGTGGAGGCGCACTCGAGTGACCCCATTAACAAGAGTGCAGTCACCCTTAGGGGCAGAGCTCGGCGAGGCTGAGCTGAGAAGGCTCGGTCTAAGTGGGGTTTGCGATCATAAACGCGACCCCAGGCAAGTGCCCCGCCCTTCCCAGCTAGCCCTGGGAGGGCCTGGGTCGTTTCCTCCTGCCCAGCGTGTGCATTAAAATGATGTAGGGGGGAAGCGGGGCGGACAGTGGTGAGATGATGTAAAAAGTCTCCATCCTCGTTTCCGGGCGCCGTTCACCTCCTGAAATAAACGCAACGTGCAAATGCGCACCATCCGCTTTCTGGGATTGATAACAAACACAGAAGGTCGCCTAACAGCCTTAATCACTTCTGCCTGTGCCGTTTTCGGGCGAGGACACGCGGGGAACGAAGTTGATCATCCTTCGAACTTGCCGCAGTTCCGGGATGTGCCCCCTTCTGGCGCAGCTTGTCCTCCCGCGGTTCGCCCTCCCCACACGCTGTTTGGGAAATCTCGACACTTAATTTATAACTTTATTAATTTTTGTATTCGGGAGGGCGGAGTCCCGTTCCGAAGCCAAGTTTATGCAAATAAGGACGGTCACTGAACGACCCCGGGGTTTGAAATGCAAAGGGAAGGGGGCCACGCCCGGCGTCCGCCCAGGCAGCTGGAATTCCCTGTTCTTTCTGATCACTCGAAAATGCAATGGCTGCGCTCGCAGGTATTTCTCAGAAATCCTTTCGATTCCATTAAATGTAGGTGAAATGCTAAAACAGAGCGGGAATCGACTGTCTCTCAAGATGAAAAAAGGAACTACTGGCTATTGTCTGACCTCCCCGGTGCCTGATTGACTAGTAGAAGTCCTATCTCCATGGGAACAGATAAATGTCTGCTTGTCATGCCGAGAAACAACCAACTCAGCCCGGGGAACCTCACCAACCTAGCACTTTATTTGGGCGGCCCTAAGCAGCCTCTCCCTTTTCATGTTCAGCCAAATTATCTGCCAGAATTTCTTTTCAAGTCTAAGGAGGGGGAAAAAGAAAGAGCTTCCTTCCCCCTCCCCCTTCTGCATGGAGTTAATTACTGTATTTTCATCTGGGAGGATGGAAAAAAATTACACACGGAGCTGAAATAACACACAAAACAACGGTGGTATGTTGTATCTGCCTGTTGTCAAATAGCTTTTGGTAATTTTTTTTCCCCCGAAGTTGTCTGGGTCGCTGTTGTGCCAGTAGGTAACAATACAGCCTCAGAAAAGAGCCTAAGGAACCATCGGTTGTTTTTCTCTTTCTTTCTTTTCTTTTTTTTTTTTTTTAACCTTAGACAAGTGGACAGAGGCTCTGTTTCAATGGAATCTAAGAGATGGAGGTAATAGGAAGGACAGGAAAATTTGCTGAAGGCTCTTAGGTATCTTCCTCCCTTCCCCTAAAAATCCCCAACATCTGCCATCTTGACTCTGATGGCTGATCCTGTGCTCTCTGCCAGTAAAACTAAAGAACAGCCCTTGGGAGGTCAGGGGCTTTCTGCCCAGTTTCTGTGCTTGGTTAAAAATACCACCGGAAGCAGCATTTTCTGGTGATATTGCAACATTTCCAGTCCAGTTTCTGGATCTGAGGAAAAAAGAAATAAGGGGGGAAAGCAAAGGGGAAGGGGTGGAGGTGGAATAGAGACACATGGATATAAATAGGTCTATAGATTTTTCAAACACAAGATCAAACTCTTAGAGGGAAAAAGTCATAGCCCATTTGATTCTAAAACTGGGCACAAGAAGTGCACAGGTTCATTATTTCCCTGGAATCTATTTACCGGCTCCTTTGTCACGAGGCTGTTTGGGTCTTTGTCTCTCCTCTTCCTCAGCACCTCCACCCACCCACCCAGCAAGTCTGAGCAGGAAGTGTCTAAAGACTAGTGAACTGCAAACCCACTAGGCGTTTTTTTTTGTTTTTGTTTTTGTTTTTTAATCCAGGTTAAAGATACCTGCAGGTATTTGTGGATGTAGTAATCAAGTCTCAATTCCAGCTCTTCCGGGGACATGATTCCTAAATATCCAACCCCAGTGGTCTTTATCTGGCCCAGCTGCTTCTGATGTGGAGAGGAATGTAGCACATCAAGTGTGTGAACACTGCCTCCATTGTATCCAGACCAGCGATGGAAGCCGGGATAATTGGCATGTAACCTTCTCTATTAACAGTGCAGACAGATATGTGAATTCGCTGAATCCCTTCGACATATGCCATGCATTAGCTAAAGGGGCTTAGAGTTCTCTTGACATCTTGGTGATTCACTGATAATTAGGCTTTCGGACTTGATAACTTTGTGGGGAAAATCAATAAATAATAGTGAAGTTCAGTACTTCCTCTGAATAAGAAGTGGCCCTGTCATTGAAAGTCTAACACTGACAGTGATCATTGCCGATCATGTGGGAGGTGGAGGGGTGGAGGCTGCTGAAGCTGGGTTTCTGGAGGAGATTATTAAATCTTTATTTAGCCTCTATGGCCACCAAGGTGAGTGAATGGCAGAGGATACTTACCATGTCCGGCTTGAAGATCTTGTGAAGGGATATACCCTGCTATGGTTTGAAACACTAAGGGAAGTGATTTAGAGTATCTGCTTCTAATCCTAGCTTAGCTCACATCTGCTCCTAAGACTAGAGGAAGTACCCTGGGCTGGTGGGTGAAGGCATCAAACGCAGCGAGGCTTCCTGGTTTAATGCACGGCTCTCCCACGTACTAGCTCGGGGCGCTCTGTCAGAGTCTCTGTACCTTGGTTTCATCATCTATCTATCCGATTAGGACTTGCTAAGGGTTCATGAATTGTTACTTCTAAGATGTCCAGAAAAGTACAGTGTATAAGTACTTTCCTCTTTTTATTTACTAAATACGTGCAGAAAGTATTTTTCAGCTGCAAGTTGTAACCTGTATCTATAGATAGCAAGATCCATTTAGTGGGTCTCAGCTATTACTTTTCAATGAACTAGAGGAGGAAAGATAGAAGAGAATAGAATAGAGTGCATGGCATAGAGGAAAAGTAAGTACTATTTCATAAATCATTTAACTATATAAATGGGGGTGAGATATATGGGCATACTGGGTCCCAATGTAAAAATATTTTTTTTTAGTGGATCCAGTTTAAAAAATTGTTGAACAACATGCAATAATTTAAAACCTGGAAAATATATATATATATATATGAGATTGGCTAAATAAATTATGCTCTAGTCATATAATGAATTACCAGGCAGCCATTAATAACAAAGGAATCAATTTCCATGAGCTGATTGTACTAGTCTCCCAGAAATTTTATTCTGTAAAAACAAAAGGCATTGGATAGAGTATGTATTACAATCCTATTTATAGAAGTAGAAAGGAAGCTTTATTTGGGTTTGTTTGCTTTAATAACACTGAACTTCATTTTGCTGGCTGTCGGGCCCTGTGCTAAGTGGAGTCCTCTCTGGAGTCTCTTACTCTGTGATTGGCACCACTGTCCATCCAGTCGAGCAAGCCAGAAGCCTTGGAGCCATCGTTGGCAAGGTTTAGCCTCTCATGCCCCAAGGCATTCAGAACCCGTTCTCTTGGCTTTGTCTTTACCCTGAACCCCTATTCTCAACTACTGTTGTCTCTTTCCTGGGCACCCACATCAACTTCTAACTAGTACCCCTGAAGCCTCCTGACTAGACCTCCTAAGCCTCCTGACTAGTCGTTTTCCTGTACGCTCTGGCTCCCCTCTTCCTGTTCTCCCAGGGGCGCCGGGGAGCCAGGCCACCCCGCTCCCTGACTTGCGCAAGTTCTCGCCTTGCTTCCCTGTTGCTCTTGGGACAAAGACCCAAATCCTTCTGTGGCCTTTGTATTAATTTCCCAGGGATGCCACAGCAAATTGCAACAAACTAAGTGACTTAAGTCAACAACAGTTCATTGCCTAACCGTCCTGAAGGGTGCAAGCCCAGAACTGTGCTGTCGGTCGGGCCACATTCTCCCTGAACCTGTTGGGAAGAGCTTCTTTGCCTCGAGCTTTCTGTTCATCGGTCTCCGCCATTCGATGGCTTGGGGCTGTATCCGTCCATCTCTGCTCTGGCATACGACTTTCTCCCCCAAGTAGCTGTGTTTTCCTTTTCATTTCAGAGGATTGTGTGTGTGTGTGTGTGTGTGTGTGTGTGTAAGTGTGTAACCCAGGGGCTCATGCACATTGGGTAAGTGCACTACCACTGAGCTACACCCCAACTGTTTCTTACAAGGGTGCAGTTAGATTGGATTAGGAGCCTGCTCCACTCCAGCTTGACCTCTTCTTAACTAATTAGAACTTAAGTGACCCTGCTTCCAAATAAGTTGATATGTGGATTTGGAGGTGCTGAGGACTAGAATATTGGTACTTTTTTTTTTTTTTTGGAAGAATGAGCCCCACCTCCCTCTCTGCAGTCCTCTCCCACCACCCTTTGTCCTGGGGCATCAGGCATCCTCTTGTCCAAGGACTTTTGCTCAGGGGCTTCCCCTCCAACCTCCTGGAGAAATTGTAGACACAGGTTCAGTTTCCAAAACCACAAATCTCACATTCAGGAATCCCTGTCACCAGGAATTCCCAGAGGAATATGACTTGTGTGGAAGCATTAAGTGCAAATTCATAGCGTCATCATCTACCAAAAGAAACACTAACATGTAACTTAGCCCTGAGCTTGAGAAATTACTCAGTTTCTAAATACCTATTGTTAGGTATGAATAAGGGTTTGCAAGTTCCTCCCCATTGGAATATAAATAAAGTTGAGCTTTGGGTCTACTCTTACTGCTATAACAAAATGCCACAGACTGAGTCATTAATAAATAATAGAATGAGTGTACTTCTTACAGCTCCAGAGGCTGGGAAATCCAAGTTGAAAGCTTGGGCAGATTTGATGTCTGGTCCAGGATTCCTACCTGACTTCAGCATGGTGCCTAGCTGCATTGTCCCCTGGAAAGATGACCGCTATATCCTCAAGTGTCCAAAGAGAGAGACAGACAACCTTTCCCCATAGTGCCCTTTCATAAGGACACTAACCCATCTATGAGGGCTGAGTCTTGTGACCTCATTGCTTCCCAGGGGTCCCACCTCTTTTTTTTGGGGGGGGCGGGGGTAGTGGAGGATGAACCCAGGCCTCCTTCATGCTAGGTGAGCACTCTACCACAGAGCCACAATCCCAGCCCTCTCTATTTTGAGGCAGGGTCTCACTATGTTTCCCAGGCTGGCTTCATACTTTTGATCCTCCTGCCTCAGCCTCCTGAGTGGTTGGGATTACAGGTATATTCCTCTGCACCCTGCAAACCCCACCTCTCAATACCATCAACTTGGGGGTCAAGTCACAGCACGTGAATTTTGGAAAGACACATACATTCTAACCATAGCAGTGACCAACTGTCCAAGTTTGCCCTGGACTCAGGAGTATCTCTACAGAGGACGTCAGTATTAAAAAGGACAAATCCCTAGCAAACTGGGATGCTGACCAACCTAGCTGTGTTTCAGTGTGTTATTTAGCACTTTCAGCACCTAATGACATTTATGATGTGAAAACAAAAAAAAAATTTTTTTTTAATTTTTTTTAGGTGTCAATGGACCTTTATTTTTATTTATTTGTATGCAGTGCTCAGAATGGAACCCAGTGCCTCACATATGCTAGGCAAGTACTCTACCACTGAGCCACAACCCCAGCCCACAAGATATATTTTTTTCATTTTGGGTCTCCGAGACACTATTTTTCTCCATCAACAGCTTTTAATGGCCAAAGCTATTATCATCCATGAAAAGGGAAATAAGATATATCTTTTGTGTAAAAGCTTGAGCTTTAACTTGTACACTGAATATTATCTGGATCTGCACAATTTGATCTATTGTTAGTGTGTGTGTGTGTGTGTGTGTGTGTGTTGCTAAGAATAGAACCCAGGGCCTTGTGCATACAAGGCAAGCACTCTACCAACTGAGCCCCTTGATCTATTATTTGTAGCATTTGTTTTATACAGTGAAAGGTGGCATATCCATTTGCTTCTGCCATAACAAAACATCCCAAAGCTCAGGAGTTAACACAACCACTAATTTAGCTCATGATTTCTGTTCTGGTCCAGCTCAGCTGACCTCTGCTGGACGGCTTCGGCTTCCTGCACGTGCAGTCTGCCTGTAGCTCAGCTCAGCTACGTGGTCCTAAATCAGCCTTCCTACCATGGTGGTGGATGGAGGCTTTCGCCTGGGGCCACAAGAGCAGCGGCATCACCTGTCCCTTGTCATCCAACAGTTAGATCCTGCACCAGATGATGAAGAAAGGGAGCAAACCAAAGGACGAGGACTGAGGACTCCGAAGCCTCTGCTTCCTTCGCATTTGTCAGCGATGCTTGGCCAAGGCAAATCCCAGCCCAGATGGAAAGCCTGAACCAGACTCCTCCCCTTACTGGGAGGAGCTATGAGGTCACGTGGCAAAGGGGCGGGGTGCCCAGGGATGGGAAAGTTCTTTCTGGGTACTGCAGGTGATACCGGGGGCTGTGAGCTTATTTTGGTATTTAGTTATTCCATTTGCTTAATTTTTAATCAGTCTAATTTTTTAAGCCCTGGCCTCTGGCGCGCTATGCAAGCGCACCATCGCTGGGCTGCATCCCCAACCCAGTGCTTAATTTTCTGAATTTTGTTTTTTCTTGTCTGTAAAATGATCATGAAGATGATGAGTAGATTTTAAGTAGTGTTAAGGATTAAAAGTCGTATGCCAAAAGCTAAAAGACTAACTGGAAACATAGTAAATAAGGGTTCCTCTCTCTCCCTCCCGCTCTTACCCCGGGGCCATGGTCCACCCTGCAGCACCAGTGACTGGGGAAGCTGAGGCAGGAGGACGGCAAGTTCCCGACCAGGATGTAGCCCGTCCAGGATGTAGCTCAGCCGTCAAGCACCCCTGGATTCAAGCCCTGGTACCGAGAAAAAAGAAAAATTCTGTGGTTTTTAGGATATTCACAAAGTTGTGCAACCATCACCCTACCTATTCCAGAAAGTTCTATCATCCCAAACAGGAACGCTGTACGCATTAGTACTCATCTCCCATTCCCTCCTCCTCCCAACCCTGGCAACCACTAATCCACTTTCTGTCCTTGTGGATCGGCCTCTTGGGAACATTTCACGTGTGAGGAAGGATACCATGGGCGGGTCTCTGTGATGGCTGCTCTCAGCTAGCATAATGTCATGTGGGAGCCTGTTAGGATGTCTCTCTTTTCATTTACAAACAATGTTCCATTATGTCGACAGGTTCCACCTTTTTAAAATCCATGTATTAATTTATGGATATTTTAGCTGTTTCCACTTTTTTTTTCTTCTTTGTGGTGGTGCTGGGGATGGAGTCAGGACCTCCTCCTGGATGCTCTACCAC